CGGTGTAATATTAATCGTTTTCTCGGTGGAAAACAAAATGACTTGTTTTGTCTGTTGGATATGACAAAAAAAGTATTTGTTCTTATCTTTCAAAGTGTTTTTCTGAATGATTTTCAGAGTTTCTTATTTAGTTCGAAAAAAAATGTCTTGTTTTGATAATATCATAATGATATTGTCGAAAGACCGCTTTTTTTTGCTCATAGGAATTAAAAAACATTGTTAGATAAGATTATAGCATCTTTCTTTCTCTAAATTGCAGAATGTAATCTTTTTTTGGAGTTATATCATACATGTATTCATCTTGAGTTGTCTATGTTGAAAATATGCAATAGAAAGACTGATGGATATCTGTATCCATGAAGGGTGAGTAAGATCTCTGTTCACTAAAGAAGAGCCGTTGTAAGAGACATATGACACAGTTTAGTTTCTCAGTGTTCATTTGTCGATTTTTTAAGCCGATGATACGGCTGAGAAATATCGGAAAATTTTCTCCTCCTAAAATATTTTAGAAGCATATACTGTCGACGATGTTAATTCTGAATATCATGTTTAAAATTTGAATAGAAGGTTATGTGAAAAACTGCATTTACAAAGTCTGCTGGTACTCTTATTTTTTTTCATCATATTTAGACAACATTCTTACCAATTAGAAACGGTCATACATGTCTAAAAACGTTTGCTTATTTTAAATCTGTTCTAAACAATATTTTGACTATTTAACGACAACTCACATAAGCTAAAAATGTGACTGCACTCGACTTGATCGACGATCGAAAAATTCTGTCACTGTAATTTCCGGTAAAAAAATCTTTAAATATATAAAATAAATCCTGGAGATTACAAACGTCCTCCTCAATCTTCGAAAACATTTTCTTTTATATACTTAAAAATTTATTACAATATGTACATATATTTGAAAGTAGCTAATTACTTTTAATTATACGTGATTGGAAAACACAGCAAGGTTTTTTCCTCTTCGAAATACGCTCGTTCGCTCAGACATATTGAGTTGAATAATTGATATAATTTTTATTTTGATGCAAGTTTTTATTAGATAAGATTATTAAGATACGAGGATTTTTGAATATTTCGATCCCGATAACGAATCTTTGAGTACTTAATACGTAGTAGGAATATGTTTGAAGATCGATTTAAAATGAACAAGCATTTGTAGAACTAGTCAACCACTTTTTGATCGACAAAAATGAATGACTGTAGAATAAATTTGATAAAAAAATTAAAAAAAATGCAAAAATACTATCAGACTTTGTTAATGCAGTTTTTCACATAAAAGAGTCCTTCACATGTCTTGATTTTTCTTACCTGACAATATTCTAATTGAATAAGGAGATAATGCAATTTATTACGCACACTACTATAGATCAACTCTTTCTAATAGAAGAAAAAAGTGTGGGCGAATAGGAAAACACCAGCTGGTATCATTGTTTCGTAGAAGATGTTTTTAATTACCATTATTTACGCGTTGATGTTATGTTTGATTGATTGAACCCGATCGTTAAGGCTTCAATTATTTTGACATACCGTTTAAAAGAATAATTATTTATGACGAAAACAGAAGTTTCTCTTCCTCTAATGAAGAAAGAACTTTTTTTTCTCACAAAGTATACATAATCGAAATCTGCCATTTTACACGGATTATATTGCACATGCATTCGGATACAGTTTCTTCGAGTATGTATTACAATTTATCAACAGAGTAAACATATTCTTTTCTTCTCTCTTTACGTTCTCCTATTGATCAAGAATACAAAGTACTATTAGTATTTTCCTAAGAGTAACTCTGCCGTTTCTAAACTTGTAGACTATTTTCATATAATTCTTAACGAGAAGTAATAATAATTCTTTTGAAAATACTCTTATTTATCTATAAATCATGTATGTCAAATGTAATAAATAACGTTCTGATGTAGTTCATATTTGACGATTATCTTTTGTCGTTCTATTCTATTCTATTGTTGTACTCGTAAAGTTCCAATACAAGAGATATAAATATAAACAGAAATAGAACAATAGTATCACTTGTAATTATACATTATACAGACATAATAGCTTCTTTTACGTTTATTTAACCAATCAACCAAATAGATCATTGTAATAGTTCAATAATTAAAAGTAACTAAACAAACACACATTATTTCTCACTTATTGACTAACAACTTTATAACAATTTTACATTCAAACAAAAAGAAAAAGTAAGTTAGAACAGAGCAATTGAACCCTGTCACGAAATGAAACTAGTTCGATAGATTAAACATTAAATCTGGAATAGAGAGTTTAAGCTGGTCGAATTAGACTATAAACCTGCGCTAGCTAGCTATTCTTAACATTTTACTAGATGAAAATAGTTGTCAATTTTGTGTACGCACTATTGTTCCAAGACAATTGGCTAGTTAATTTAAAGCAGATATTTAAACTAATTGTAAAACAAAACTAGTTTTAAATTCGGATGTTGATATCAAAGTTACAACAGATTCTAATAACAGACGTTCAAGCAACCCTCTATCAACCGATGTTCCACGTTTTTCTAGATATTTGGGTGAGAGTATTCCTTTGGAACGTATTTAATTACTCGGTAAGCACCTGAGCAAGTACTTCAGAAAAATCAGCAAATTTTTGCAAATTTGAGAAAGACAGACAGACGACATCGTATTCGGTTTTATTATTATGACATATTTTGTGAAAGTATTTGGTAGGTAAATGGTATAAAATTCTAAAATCTTCAGAACACATAAAAAGCCTTAATAGAAAAAGAAGACCATACATTTTTGAGAAAGATAGCTGATTCGAAAAACGACTCAGAATTTTTCAAGATTTTTTCTTTATTTCTGATAGACGTTTCAAAAATTTATGGTTTTCCGACAGTTCTTCTCTTATCGGTTTAAAATCTTTTGAATTAGTCAAAAGAAACAGCACACGCTTCAGAAATTTGTAAACATCAGGTTTCGTCATAATTGGTTCAGCTGTTACAGAAATAGTTTTCTGATACAACGTATCTATTTCATTTATGCGTTTACCATGTCAGACAAATGGTACTAGATCACTGCTGAATAAAGGCTATTATTTACAACATTAGAAGTTAATACTATTACATACCTAAAAATAACAAGGAGCATATTTTCGATCAGCACTATGTAGTCGTACTAATATATATTGTCGTTAATCATGCATTTATATATAAGGGGTGAGTAGAAGATATGATTGATTGGTTCATAGACACACAAATATGCCGACAATCTTTACTATAAGTCGCATTCTTATTAGTTTACTGTGCACTAGCCAACCATCTTCTTTTTGGGTATCTTTTTTAACTGAGACTCCTTTTACGTTTGTTTTGATTTATTTTCATTTTACTAATTTTTGTTGTTGTTGTTTAGTGGATCTATGAAAAAATGGTTGTATTTACTGGAAAAAAAGAAGCACTTGACCAATTAGGTTGGCATGTTCAACTAGCCTTTATCGGTAATTGTACGGAAGTTGCCAAAGGTATGAGTACTCGTTCGTTGCCACCAACCGATCAGTATACCCTTGCATTTGAAAATATTCAAGTGTTACGCGGCATTCTCGAAGATACAACTCACTTTCATTATATGCAAACAGGTGGCGGAGCAATGATTATGTCAAAAGACGGTAAAACCTCAACACGTGCTCCTGATCCTAAAAAACCACAAACAGATAAGCTCTATTTGGCATTACTGACTGATACAACTTATATTAGACATTTAATTGAAATACAAGAAGAAGATGTGGAAGAAATTAAACAAATTGCTGCTGCTTCTCCTCCTACTTGATTAATTATTGTTTTCTCATAGAAGTCAATAAAGTGAGACTTTTTTTTGCTAATCAGTAAAGCAAAAGAACATGACAGATTCAAACATTGAATAATATAGATAAACGAATATAGACTTGTTGTTTTTTTGTTAGTGCATAATAAGAATTATACTTAGTTTTTGTTCAAATATATTTAAATACAGCCTTCAAGAATTGCTACGTATGTGCAGTAATCGCTTTTAACTAGAAAACTAAATTCGCTTATCTGAAAAAGTAAAACTAGGATCATTTGTTATAGTAATAATTTGAGAAAAAAGCGAAAAAACGTACTGAATATATGTTTCAAACAAAACAGTCGGGTTTTAAAACTACTCTACTAAAAAAACTATTCAGAATGTTTATGCATTACTGGTTGACTTAATTTGTCTAATATCAGGATGATAGGAAAATTATGAAATATTTGTTTTCTGATTTTTTTGAGATTTAAAAAACTTCAGTTAAAAAATCTGGTAAGAAAATAGTCGACTATTCAATCTACTCACCTGAGTCTGTTATGAAAGTTCCATCGAGCTCTTGAGTACAGACGCGTGAAAACTTCATCTTTCCATCTATCATCCATAAAAGATTATTAAAATCAAAATGGCTTCAAAACTCTATGACAAGAGTCATTGAGATAACAATACGATATACCCTGCCTCACCATCAGCAGATTTTATTTTTAAACACTTCCTCAGTGGTGATTTTCATCAAACACAGGAACGTTACACTGGCAATGCTACTTCCGATGGACTATTTCGTAAAACGAGTGCCACTCATTGAACAACATCATGAAGAGCTTGAAAATATTTTATTTTTAAAGAAAAATATTTGCTCTACAAGAGCATAGATTAAGCCAAAATGAAAAGTTATCACCGATAGAAAAATAAAGTGCATGTATAGTCAGGGAACGTATGCTTTTTTTGTATTCAGCACAATCGATAACACAGAAAATTTTCTATTTTTGGCAAGGAATATTGCCAAAAGTTTAAGAAAAATTTTGAAGCGAATATATATTTCTCCATGTAAATTTATTTTTGCATTTTCCCGAAAGTTTTGGTAGTACGCCAAAAATAGAAAATCTTCTGGGTTATCGATTGTGTTGAATACGAAAAAGTACTTGTCCACGACTCTGCATGAACTCTATGTTTTTCTTCACGTTGGTATGTATGTTTTAGAAAAATGTATCATGGTTTTTGAGGTAAACTTTAGAAGCGCTTTTATTTTTTTGAGCAAATGGCATGGAAAGACTGGAATTTACCCATTTTATAGGGATCACATGATCCTTTGGCGAGCCATGATTAATTCAATTTAAAAACTTTTTTCAGAAATCAAGAAGATGGATATTCTTACGAGAATGATATAAATTTTTTTCAGTTCCTCTGCCAGTATCATTGAATATTGGCTTAAAATATGCAGTAATGGATCAGAATCAGCAGTTAATGTTGTAGTTAGAACATGTATAAAAAATTTCTGATAATCTAGAAAGAAGATTTCGGCAAGACAAAGTTTAACAAATGAGTTACGTTGCGCATAGGATTTGCTATTGAGCGGAGCACAAATGCCATCTCGTTTTTTGTTACATGTCTCTGAATTTGATTTGTTTCAAATATTGAAACCGGTGAGAATGGAAAAGACTTGACGCAGTAAACACGGTAAAGAACAAAAACAAGAAAGAAAAATGATGATATTTACCATCTGCCAGAAATATGGCATATTTCCAATATCTAGCATAAAAATGTTATTTTGATGACTGTCAAAATTCCATATTAATGACCATATATTATTTAAGTACAATATTCACTCTCCTTGTTCTCGTTAAATAACTCACAGTATATATTTGCTAGGACGATGTTCCTATTTTTTTTCTTTTACACAAATGACAGCATGACAAAAATCTTCAAATGACACTCGTCTAGTTTCTGTATTATCTACCAATTCAATCATTTGTCTCAATTCAACATCTGTTATTTGAATATTTAAACTTATCATAGCTAATTTCAATTCATCGGCAGTTATCCATCCATCTTGGTTTTTATCGAATAACTCAAATGCTTGTTTCAATTCTTGTTGAGTTTCACCAGGTTGCATTCGGTGTGAAATAACCGAGACAAATTCATAAAAATCAATATCGCCTGAATTATCTTTGTCTACTTCACGCAACAAATCAATTAAATCCGTTTCTGTTGGCGTTTGTCCGAGAGATTTCATGACCGTTGCAATAGTTTGTGTTGTCAATATGCCTGCATTATCCTTATCAAACATATTGTATACTTCACGGAATTCCTCCAATTGTTCATCAGTAAAACGTGCTAGAACATCTGCTTGAGTTCGTTTAGTGATATCTTTAATTCCTGTCGTCTTTTTTGTTTTACTTGACTGTGTTTTACCCTCGGCATCCTGTTTTGAATGCATTTTAACCAAAACAAAAGTTCAAATCTATTTATATTAAAATTCAAATGAACAAATGGCGGGTGGTTATACTGCAGTCTTCCATCGTATGCTTGTTAACATAATGCATGACTTTCCGTATAATCGCTACTAATTTGATTCAATAATTTTGAGATGGTAGTAAACTGCGTATATCTCCATCATATCCTATAACTCACTTGTGTTTTTGAAAGTCTCATGGTAAAATTTATTTAAAAAGTTGATCGGTAAACTTTAATAGTATTAAACCTCATGATTCTTAAACTTCTAGTATTTGTTCAAAAACATTGAGATTTAAATAAAAATAAACTGTTTTGAAACATACGACCACGAACATCAACATCAGACTGGAGTAGTGTTGAACTGTTTTATGCATGTAAGGACAATTATATGGCTAAACAACGTTCACTAAAGGATAGGGAAACACACAGTGGGCAATTTTCGATAGGCCGGCGGACATTTGGTACAACATAGTTCCTCTTCACTCGAAATATAGCTTTTGTAGGTTTTCGGACATGCTCTTTCTAAGGAGACCAGAAAATCTTCAAAAACTGGTTTTTTAGGTGGTTTCCAGAGATCGGATCTCTGGAAACCCTTTGGAAAACCACTTTAAAAGTTTTTGAACTGCATCATTAGATTCGCCATGCTCGAAAACCTGCCGAAAACTGGTTTTCACAATTTCTGGAAGCTAGAAGGTGCCATACTAAAACATCAGCTACAGCTTTAGAGAAAAACCTTGGAGAATCGCTGTCTCCAGCAAACTTCAGCAAGAGTTCGTCGAAGTGGACGAAAGACACATGATTAGATGCAGTTTTTCACGCTGATTCCGAATCTGTCCTCAGTTTTTAGCTAGGATGCTTTCTGTCCGAGAAAACCGCGAAAAATCGCTGAAAAACCGGCGTTTTTGGAAAACTCATAAATCCGGAACTGAAAAAAATTTTTGTAGGTTGCCCACTTCCAGGTAAATAACTGCTAAAAATTTCAGCTTCGACGGACCTTCGCTAACCCTCGCGCACTCACTTTGCGGAAATTGTTAAGTTGCGCGTGATGCAAAAGTTGAGCAAAATTTTTTTTGAACTTATTATATATCGTTCCATAGAGCTCGTTGAGCTAATTAAGAAAATATATTTTTTAAAGTTATGTCGAAAAATTGAAAAAACTCGAAAATCGCTCAAATTTCGTCTTTAGAGAATTTTCGTGCTGCGTATATAAGTTTCAAACTATTTGTTTTTTTATTCCATGTCAAAAACTGAATAAGAAAACATGATTTGATAAAGTTCAAAGTTAAAGGGCTGTCCAGCACGAACCTTCCAAACTAGTACTCTCAAATGGCCGCACGGAATTTTGTAAACCTATCTAGTTCCTTGTATCAAGGATTACAATCCTCCTTTGCATATCATTAGATTCGTTGAAACCTCAGCTTTAAAAGTACGACTCGCTTCTTTTAAAATTTTGTTCCGTTGCTGAGAAAATTCATTTTTTCTAAATCAGAGGCGAAAAAGTCGGAATTCTGCCCATAATTCTCAATTTTCTCCATCATAACTCAACTTCTGAGTAATAAAAATATCATATTCGGAATCAGGATCAAACACTGAGTCGACTGATGTGTATTTCCATCCTATCCGACTACTTTCATTTTTATGTCATCTACTTTCATTCATCTTCCCAAACAATGGTCTTTGCCAAGGAAAATTATTGTATTTGAACATTAGATAAGTTATAGCGATATTCTTGTGATGCTAAAAGTCCTTATTCCATTTCATCATTTTAACGATAACCGGTAGTGTCACTTTTCATGATTTGTTAAATATTAAACAAATAACCAAGTCAAACTGCCGATTGAAATATCAAGTATTGTATGTACTTGAGAAAAATCAATTACTCAAAACTCTTTTTCCTGTTTATTATGTCGTCGATATTATCGTGTTTTTTATTATTTAATTTACATGTTCTTTCAGAAATATTTGGGTTGTATAACAAAAAAGATGAGCACACACCCATATATACAGTCACAAAAGATATGTGTGCACAAATATCAAAAACAAAATGTTTATATAGATTTGAAGATGAAAATCGACTAGACATAAATAAGAGAAGAGAGGTATAAACACAAAAAAAAGAAAAACGATCTATTTATGAATACAAAACATTACTATTCGTTCTGTTTATTGTGGTTGTTGTTGATCATTCGTTAATTTGGCTCGTTTTTGTTGTCGTCGACGATAAACGTCCATTGGTGGTGCTGATTGACTATTAATTTGATCTTCTTCATCACTGTCATGACCACCACTTGTCTTTTTAGTGTTTGTTCCACGAGCATTCATATCATTCTCACGAATTGCTTCACCATTAATAGTGATACGAATCGGTTCATAGGCTATACAAAAACAAAGTAGAGTTTATTTTAGAGAGAAAATATAGATTACAAACTACGTACTATCTGGAATAATAGCCGCTGCAATTTTTTCCATCAATTCATCAATAATTACAAATGGACCCTAGAAAATAATAAAAAAAATGGTTATAATAATCATTCACGAAGAATATTTTAAAAATCTTTTACTTCAAAATTTCTTGGCGGTGGTAATACTTTAACGAGATAGAGAGCTGTATCAGGTAGTGGAAATACTCCACCAGGTGTAGGATGTGAACCTGGCAATGCATTTCTTGTTGGTCTATATGGCATCATATGTTTAATATCTGGTTTTGGATAATTTGGTTTTTCAGAATGAATTTTATGATAACGATCGGTCGTTTTTATTTGAAATAAATCTGAATGAATACCATTTCCATTTGTTAATTTTGAATTTGTATGATGATGCTGATGATGTAAATAATCTGCATTATATCCCAATATTTTCAATTCATCATAATTACATGGTAATAAATTTAAAAACTTGTAACGATCAATAAGTAACAATGTTTCTTTTCCATCAAATTCATTTAATTCTTGATATAATTGATTTCGTCTTTTTTCAACTTTTTTTATTGATGATAAATCGCCAACGTTTGATTCAAATTTTAAAAATTCATACCATATATCCGATTGATTTTGTTTGGGAATTTGATTATCGGATGATAAGACACGTTCAAATAAAACTCGAGCATTATGATCTTCGTTTAAATGTGTCATATAATCAATGTAAGCTAAAAATGTAAAGATATATAGAAGTAAGCTTTTTTTTTAACTTTCATACTAGAATAGTCGATCATATCTATTAATTATATTTATATTATTTTGATTGAGAAAATAAAAAGTATCTACCTAGAATATAATCAACATTTTGTCCATATTTTTTCAAACCAAGATTGAAAATATTAAATGCAACAGTATTATCTTTTGTACAATAATATTCCATAAGTGCTGCTGCAACATAGATATGATGTTGTGTTCGTTGATCTTCTCGTGCTTTTTTAAATATTGCTCTAGCCGATTTAATACCATCACATCTTCTCTCAAAACTCATATAATGAATATAAGCTAAAGTTGGATCAAATGTTGAATCATCAATTTCAACTAGTTTCTGATAAATTTTTCGAACTTTATCATAATTTAATCTTGATTCTTCAAAATCAGCATATGAATAATGAATTAATTGATTTTGTTTCATAAATAATGAAATTGAACGTTCATATAATTGTGATGTATCATCAAGAAATTTTTTTGTTAATTGTATATCGCCTTTATCATGAAAATGATGAACTATTGATTCTAAATATTGGCCAGCATCATACCATATATCTGAATGATATCCTAAATAAAGAAAATTTACCATTTAAAATGTTTAATTAGAAAATGAATAATTCCTACCTAAACACAATAGACATTGTTCATAAGCAAACATACAACGTTTAGTAACTAATAAATGATCATCACTTTTTAATGGATTGGATTTTTCCCATTGAATATATTTTTTCCAAGCTTGTAGCTGTTTTAATTCTTCTGTTTGTGTTTGTGCTAGTGGTAATATACAAGGTATATTTCGATCTATTGAACGTGTCATTGTTTCCAATTCTTTCGTTACACGTTTTACATTTAAATAATCACGACTACGATCTTCAATAATCTTCTTGGCTAACATTGAGTTTATACTCTAAATAGAGAAACTATTTCTGCTAAAAAAAATATTTATAGATGAAATAGAGTTGTGTACTAAAAGAGAAATTTAGGGTCGTCAACTCAGAGCATTAAGAAATCAGAAGAAAAACGCTAAAAATCAGAAAAGCGAAGTGTTAGAAAACAGAAGACAATATTCTTGTCCAAAACACAGGAGAAAATGGTTATAATTTAATTTTTCTAAATGAACTTTATCCTATCGAATGAATCTTTGTCGAACACAAAAAAAGCAAATTAGAATAAATCACATCACTTTTTTCATAAAATCTTGATGTTTCTTAGTTTTAACATGTTTATCTAAATCACTTTTTCCTTTAACACGAACGAAAATATCCGTATTGCAAGCTAAACAGCTTGCTCTAGTTTCATAATGACTAAGCGTATGACAGTTCACCGTTTGTTAAACTGCCATCCCTTTAATGATGGTTCAAGTTTATTCATTAAAGTTGCTATTTCTGAACTAAGAATGGTCCAACAATTCACGTTCATAGGAACGAGAAACGGTTCATCCGTTGTAGTTCCTATGAACGAGAAATTATTGATACTCTCGTTCTTAGTGCTCTATTAGTTAGCGAGTTCTTTCAAACTATTTGTTCTATGAACACATAATAAACTAGGAGAACACACGGAACAATTTCTGAATATTTTAAATCTCTCAATCAGTCTTTGTTAAAAATGTCTTTTTGCTTCTTTCTATTTTTATTTTCTTTGTTTTCATTTGAATCCGAGAGAGTTTCATGATGCAAACCGTCATCTAACGGTGCCATCTGTTTAAGAAACGATCTAATCTAAAAAATGTTAACAAGTAGATAGGACTAAATGGAATGTCACGATAAGCACTTATTAAGTAATTTCGCATGCAAGAAAT